CTTAAATAGCCGAAAACAAGCTGAAAATGTTTAAAAATTGAAAAGTCCTATTCTATCTTTAATGAGATAGAAGCCTAAAATAAGATAAACCTAAAAACAAGATAAACGCAAGCCTAAAGCTTATCCTAGGGAAGAAATCCGAATTTGACTCCAACTCCTTCCTACAAAAAGGTTGATTGTCTTTCTTCTGGATTGACTTTGATGGCTATGTTCTCATCACGTAGCAGGCCTGAAAAAGAACATAGGGTGAGTGGCTGAAATGAGGTTGATCTTTAGAGAGAAAAGAACGAGAGAGCAATTTGTAAATTGTAACAATCTCAAAAGAAATAAAAATAAAACCACAGTGGATGTAGCTCTTCATTTTATAAGAGTGAACTACTATAAGCCTTGTGTGTTTTTTCTACGTCAAGTATTTTTTCTTATATTGCTCACTACACAAAAAATACCACAAGCACATCAAACTCCTACATATAACCTATTTTTAAGCCGGTAATCCAACGGGAAACCCAGAGGTAAACCGGCATGTTTTTTTTGGTGAAAAATTCACCGTCAACAATTGGTGACTCCGCTGGGGACCGAACGCGTTTGACCCCCAACAACAACAATATAGTCAGCAAGCATGCCTCCAAGAAGAAGAATTGAGGCCAACAACCAAGGTAGCCAGATGGATGAGACCGCCACTCATTCGGTGAATGACGGGGTGGAGGAGGTTCCACCCCCAGTTAGAAATGAGGTCCCGCCCCCAGACGTGCCGCGGCCGGATCCCGTGCAGATGCAGACCCAACTAGCCACTCTAACCGATCTGGTACGTGGACTAATGACCGTGGTCGAACGCTTGGATGGAAGAAACTCTATGCCACCTTTAGAAGACAGCCCAAGGTCGCTGGGACCTGCCATGGCTAAAAACCCTAACCCTGGTGACCGCCCACATATCTTAGAAGAGATCGGGGATAAGCACGCGTTCTCTCGGTGCCAAAGGAACGTTTACATCAGGAATGGGGACCGTCGGCGTCCAAGTTTCTACCACCCGCGTCTTCTCTTTGCGCCTCTTTTTTAGCGCAGGATCCACCTCCGACGCCGAGGGGACCTTTGTGGCTTTCCTTTTCCTCGGCACCTGAGAAGAAGAGCTAGCTTTCTCCTTTCCCTTAGAAGGAGGTTGTTGGCTCGGCGGAGGTTGTTGGCTTGGCTCAGATGACTAACTGCCGGGAAGCGGGATCCTCAAAGATGCCATTTCTATAGAAACGACGAGACAAAAATATAATCGACGCTTGGATAAACAAGATGCCATTATAAGAAAGGCGGCGGGAACAGGGGTTTACCTTCATCGCTTAAATGGAAGTATTCGCGAACAGCGTCGAGGTCAGTAGGGTCTGGGAGATCGAGAATTAACCCAGCACTTCGAAGATTGGCCTGGGTTAGGAGGGTGTCAATATGGCGAACCTCGGACGGGAACGAGAAGGCCTTCTCAATCCTCGCCAAACTGTTTCTAGAGAACTTCGGCTGGTCCTGACTCATTGTAAGATAAAAAGACTGTCAGCGTAAGAAGGAAGAAAACAGAGTAAGGTAAAAGAAAGGGAATCAAAGTCTCACCCATGTTCCCTAACAACACCTGCACCTTCCTTCGGCGGGGCAAGCGGTTGTCGGGATGAAAATTAAAGGGTCCGCGTATCATAAAAAACATGGGTTTCCACCCATGTGACAACGAGGGAATGCCCAGAATCAGCTTGCCAAATATGGGCTGAGATCTCCCGTGCCCACTCAGAAAATACCACCCCTCGCACTTGGCAACATGGCACAGTCTGTACATGAATCTAAACTCATCCAGAGGAAGATCCATGTCAAACTGCTGGTTCCACAAGATCCAGGCGCTAGCAAAGCAGTACCAGAAATTTAGCGCCAGTTGGGCGGGGAAAATGCCATAAAAGTGGCAATAATCTTTTACAAAGGGATGAACCGGAAGGGTCATCCTCGCGATAACGGCCCTCGTATAGACAGGGAGGAATCCGGTCAGGGGCATACTAGTCCTAAAATGCATGTCTGGGAGGAGGTATTCGAACCACCTCCCGTCAATGCATCATTCCTTCACCGCCTGGATGATGTCCTTATTCCGGACTCTCGACGCCACGGTGTCAGCTATGAAGGAAGGCCGATCCGGGTCTCCACTTGTAGCAGCCAGCGGGGCATCCACCAGAGAAGTGGCGACCCCACACACGCTGCCACCTGTAAAAGGCCTCCTATCGAGGTCTTCGTCGATCATTCGGCAGACGCTGTCATAAGTATCGCTACCGCCGTCGCTTGGGCCGGCCATATGTTCCTTGACTTCCCACAATAGTGAGTTGTAGTCTGACGAGGAAGATGACCATGAAATCTCTGCCACAGAAGGGGAGTTTGGTCGTACACCAGACGGTTCCTCTCGACGGGTGTTTTTTGAGGCCATTATTCTGGTAATAAAAAAAGATAAGGAGCTACGTTAAAATCCTAAGTCGAGAGGAAGGAAAAAATGATGGTTATTCTAAGCGACGACCATTCTAGACAACGACTGCTGAAACACCTCAACATAACGTCGACCATTCATATGAAAGTGGTGACGGCAAATGCTCGTGACAACCAAGGTTCATTAGA